ACCCTAAAAAAAAATTATTAAACGATCTCGATTGGGAAGAACCAAGTGATAGAGATTGTAACAAGGTTTTCAAAAACATAAAGAACACTAAAATCCGAGTTATAACGAAGAAGTTATGACCAATCGAAGATCCACGACAAAACCGGCAAAACACTGTTCAGTGTAAAAACTGAATTTTCAATAAAAGGCTTTTTATCCTTAACAATCTAAATGAAAGTTGTAGTTTATGTTAAACCGAGAACTTTCATAAAAAGAACGCCAAAATTTTGACTTCGTATGAGGAAGTTATGATTTTTCTAAGTTTCAGTATAGCAGTGTTCAGCTAAAAACTCGAAATAAAGATCGAGTGATTTTTAGCCAACACAACCTAAACGAGAATTGAAGGTCTCGTCATTAGTAGTACAACGGTAAAAAGACAGACAAAAACGGACATCGGATGAAGAAGTTATGAATTTTTAACGGATTTTCCTGTCCCGGCTGTTAAAAATAATAATATTAAAAATAAAGTCAAAATTAGCCGATGAAGTCTAAAAAGAAAGTCGTAGAGTATGATGTTACCTACGCGTGCATATAAAGAACGTCAAAAACGGAGTTCGTATGCAAAAGTTATGAATTTTAGAAGTTTTTGGCTCAAAAACCGAGAAAAATCGCATGGTCATCCTCCTGCCACGTCACCCTCGCATGCAAGCCTCCACGTGTCACCTGCTGATTGGACCAAAGTCTCGTGTGGCACTTTCTGATTGGACCGAAGTTCGGTCCTCTCCTGATCCGACACCCTCACATGAGATACCCCCGGACACCCCTCGGACACATGCTCTCTTCCCATTGGACCGAAGTTCGGCCCACTCAGAAGCCGCCACGTCCGAAGTCTCGCCCCGTGTAACCCTCGCATGACCGACGTGTGTGCTGCTGAATCCTTCCTTCGCCACCTATCCGAACACGTGGCAGCCTCGCACAGCCTCGCATAGCCTCGGATCCGAGGCTTCGGCCTATATAAGGCATGCGAGGGCTTCCGAGAATTTTACACTTTTCACCCCAAATTTCACACACTTTCATATTTTTCACTTCCACAAACTTATATACAACCCCTAAAGCCCCGGTATCAAGTCTAAAACCTTAAGCAAGCCTCCAAGCCCCGAGATTCCCGAGAAGTTAACCTCTCTCCAGTCGAAACTCTGCCTGATTTGAGTCGGTTTCTCGTCAAACAAACTCCTTTCCGGGAAACGAAACGCTGTCCAAATCACCACTTATCAAGTGAGTTCATACCCCGTATTTTCATAATTTCTACTGTTTTAAGGGGGGGGGGGGAATACAAGCATAACACAGGAACTTTGTGTTATAAAATCATGATTTCAAATCATGATAAAACGACATTAAATCATCAAAAATACTCAAAACGTTAAACTCTTTTATAATCTTATATTTTTCCCCAAAATTCATATTTATATATATATATATATATATATATATATATATATATATATATATATATATATATATATATATATATAAGATTTAAAAGGCTTAGGACTGATAACTCATTATGGGTCCTTTTCCTTGTTTGGATGTGGGCTTATAGTACCGGTTATTTGTCCGAGTGTCGTTTAAATTTTACTTATATATAAAATTGTGTATGTATATAAATATAAAAGTTATTTCATCAGTTCAAATACCTTTGTAACATGTTGAGCAAGGGGTTACATGCTAAAAACAGTTAAATACCGATTCAGAAAGTACATATAAATTATAATAGGTATAATTTATGATACATAGAACAATAATTCATGATACACGCATACTAGAATACACTGTTTTACAAGAAACAAAGGTTTTGATTCAGAACAAATCAAGGGTTTACACTTATCAAGTACATGTTCGGAATACTAATTCAAGAACATACTGTCAATCATTTATTTCAGAATGATTGGGTTTTCATGACAAATATACATGTAACGTTTATATGCTTTTTATGAGACATTCAATTCAGGATGTTTAATTCATTTTAGACAACCAAGGTAAAGTCCTGACATTATAATCAGAATCTCCAGCCCGGGGATCGAAACAAGTTGTGTGTAGATCTATATCGGGATTGACAACCCCACACTCAGGCAGCTAGCTACAGTCAGGCATACATGCCATCCATTTAAACGCCCACAAAGCGTTTGTTTCAGGCCATCCGTCATAGTATGGTTATAATAACTCATTAAAAAGATATTAACAATACGTTAATGTATAAACAAGTAAACGAAAGTACACCTTCAAAGTACCAGTTTATAGAATACAAACTACAATGGTTAAATGCAGTTTTCAATAACAACTGGTGGAGCCAGGCACACTCTCAGTTACAAGTTTTCATAAAGGAATACAAATACAAAACATTGATACAAAGAGAACGGTTTTATGGGAATAAAACTACTTTTCATATACAACAGAAAATATAGGATTTTCTGGAACAGTTTACATATACAAGATACAGGGATACTCTTTTAAACATAAACACTTATGCGCTCACTCAACTTTATGTTGATACTCTCTTTTCAAATTACTTGTATTCTCAGGGAAATAATACACATGTACTCCCCGAGCTTTTTGAGAAGATGGAGCTATGTTGAGTCATATCTTCTTTTGTATAACTATTTTGGTTCAATATACAATGATTGAACACATGTAAATACTTATACTTTTTAAATACTATGGTTGTTTGCACTTTGATTACTATGATGCATGTGTTGTGATACTACAATTGAAGTCCTCCACCCCCGGACGTTTCCACCGCTGGTTTGGGGGTGTGATAATAAATGTAACCCTTGAGACTCTCAGCTACACCACTGAGGTTTATGGTTACACAACTTCTATGTTAATGATCTTAGCTTCGTTCACCACGAACTGAGTGAAACCCAAAATCCAACACACTTACATGAATTGACGGTGAACAATTAAATGTTCAAGTTTTTCACCTTGGAATTAACGAAAGCCATTTTTATGGTTTGTACCAATAAATCTCTTTTTTCTTTTGCGAGATCTTAATGATGTGTTCTTATCCCAATACACTTCTTCCCATAAGATCCAGTTTTTTTTTTAGATTTCAAGATTTAATCTTGTCACCAACATAATTCAAAACCTACTCGTACAACTGACTACACTGGTCACACGAGTACTTCATCCAACATTCGTACTTATATCAAGTTCGTTGTTTGGTTGGAAATTTAGCCACCCATTAAGCCTAATTAAAAGATGCCTTTCAATGTTTCTCATCAAACACTTGATCGTATTTCAAAGGGAAACCACACAGACACTTCTTCATCTCTCTTGACTTTGAAGGAAGAGAACTTTTGCCCTGGATCCACAGTTTCGTGTCTTTATTTAGACATCACAAAATCCCACTTAAAATTATTTTTTATTTCTTTTTCTTTGACACTATTGCACGAAGATCCTAGTGATTTTCAAAAATTCAGGTTCGTGGTACTTATGTTTATTTTCAAGTTCGCAGTTCAATCAATGAAGTTCGTTTCCATGCAAGACAAATGAAATCACTCTCAACTGCGAAAGGGAAAAGCTGATGCGACAATTCATTGTCGATAAGAATTCAAATGGGTGCGTGAAAGTTTTGAATCGACAGCTACTTTACCGCCGCATGACGTATGGGGCTGACATCTATAGTTGTCAAGATGCGCTTTTTCAGGCGACGTTCCAGTAACCGATGTATTCTCTCTTCGGATTTCACTCACAAATCAAATGGTATATAAGGATTTTGACGACTCTCTATTCATTACCACTCACAAAATCCTCTCAAAATCTCCGGCGATCAAGGCACTCCTCTGTTCATCTTCTTCTTTCTCAACGCTTCAACAATTGCGGGTTCCTCTGAAAACGTCTCTGGTCAAGATCAAACTGCACACTCTTCTCTTCTGGCAGTCAAACAACATCAGAACTTGGTGATTGATCTCGACCCAATCAAGTACGATAGCTTCATGCTTCCTATGATTGAATGCCTCAAGTATTTTCCACTAACAATCGCACTATCCAGAATGGAGAATGTTCCGCTCTCGATCTTGTCTAAAGCTTATTCTTCTGCAAACTATATTAAGGAAGAATAGAGGATCACGTTTGAGATCCACAACTGTAAAACTTCCATCACTAAATATCGATTTTGTTCTCTCCTACAGTTTCCTCAAACTGATGACATGATCAACCCTGAGTCGGTATCCAGTGCCGCTCTTCTTGAAATGTTCTATCAAATCGGCTACAAAGAAACCCTAACTGCCGTTTCAAAGCTCAGGAAACTCAATCTGCCTCCTCAGTGGAATGGTCTTTTCACCTTATTGTTTAAGGGTTTTTCTGAAAGAGTGACCAGATCGGATTGTGCAAGCAAGCTTTTCATGGCGATTCTCTATGGTCTCTACACGGGTTCGAACATCGATTACGGCTCTGTTCTTTGGGTTCAAGTGGTCCAGAGCACACTCTCTACCACATGTTACAATGAAATCTCCTGTGCACGTTTTTGGACCCTTATTGTCCACCGGTCCATTGACAAGCTCAAAATCCCACTAATGCAAGACACGTTGATGGCATCAATCTCTACCTTTCACACTACTGGGATTATCGTTTCAGATTCTTCAAAGTTTTCCTTCATTGGTTCAATCCCAGAAGCAATGTTTCGAGATGTGCCTGCTTCTAGCAAAATCTTGGAGGGGTACAGGAAATTGACTCCATCTGGGCCTCGTATATTAACTGAAGAAATGCAAGCTATCATAGCTGAGGCTGACAAACCCAAAAAGGGGGGGGGGGGGAAGGTTCAAAGAAGGGTGAAAAGAAAACTACTGATAAAGAAGGGCCTTCTGCGGCTGCAAAACCTCCTTCCAAGAGAAAGGCACCAACGGGAACTTTTGTTGCTGCTCCCAAAAGGCGAAAGCAACCTGCTCGCAAGCGAAAGTCTCCCACACTAAGTGAAAGCGAAAGTTCGGACTCTGAGACACAGACAGAGATTCACATCAAGGAGGATGATATCGTTCGCAACGAGGATGATAACGTTCGCAACGAAGAAGAGGCTTCAAATCCTCAGGTAACTCAAAATCTTAACGATTATGTTCCTTCTCCTCCTCCTTCGCCTAAAACCACTTCTACCCCAATTACCATTTCACCATGCCCTCCACCAGTCTCTTCGCAGCAACAAACTAGCATTCCTCTTTCTACCCTACTGTTCACTGATTCTACAATCCCATCTTCTGCCTCTACCGGCCCTCCTGTTTTGGTCAACGTATCTGATACGGGGGCTGAAACTTCAGGTTTATCAACCCATGTTTCACCTCCTATTTCCCCTCTTAACTGAGATAACCCTGATATGATCTTTGGTGATGATGAAGACGAAGATCTTGGGGGATTCACTTACAGTCCTTTCCAAATACGGACTGAGAGTGAAGATGATGTCTCTGTCACGAAAGGGCAACTTCAGTCCTTTCATGAAAAGATTGACCAACTGATTCTCTCTTCCAAGGAGTCATCTTCTGACGTATATGCTAAAGCAGTAGTTGAGTCTCTCTTTGAACGAATCACGAAGGAGCATTATTCTGCCAATGCTGAAAAGATGAATAAAGCAGTTGCTGATTCTGCTAAAGTTTGCAAGACAACGAACGAAAAAGTCGATAAACTAATTTATGACACTACTACCTTCATGGAGAATTTCCAAACCACCTTTAACTCAAATACCACGGCAGCCAATGAAGCTCTAAAGAGTCTGGGTTCTCTCTTCAAATCTAAGAAGGCTAATTTCTAAGAAATTCGTATTGGTCTGAAAACTACCCATGAAACATTTCAAGCCTCCATCTCCTCTCAAATTTCCAAGCTTCAAGACGAACTGGAAAAGGAGAGTAACATCAAGGACTCTCTTGCCCTCAAGACGGAAGAAGTCAAGGTGTTAAGTGCCAAACTGGAAGCTTCAGAGAAACAGGTTAACGATTTGTTATCTGAGAGAGCTGTCATGCGAAGCTATATTATAGATTTTACAGGCATGCTCTCGGATATCCTTGAGACCAGGGACTCAATGCTCACTATCATAGTATGAAAGCTTCTGCATGAGAAAGCGAGACCCGTTTTTTCCATGCTTCACATGCTAGAAGGTGTTTCGGATCAAAGCTTTAATCAGAAATAAGGGGAAGAAGGTGTGTCTGGTGGGTCAAGAAAAGAAGAACCTGTTGCTCCAGTTAAACCTGTTGTCAAGCAAGAACCTAAGGGCAAGGAAAAATTGTTTAGTGAAGATGAAGAAGAGCTGGATGAAAAAGAGATTAAAAAGCGAAAGGCTCATGAAGCCAACTGGATGAGCACCAACGAATCATCCGAGAGGCTGAAGAAAAAGAAAGAGATGAGAAAGAGGCTCAGGCCACTCTTCAAAGAAAGAAGCTTTTATTACCCAAGTGGACAATGAAGCAAATCCAGAATGATGTTGTCGATTTACATAGCCAGTATTGGTTAGAGCTAATTGTGCCATTTGATCTTCAAAACACACAAGATTCGCAATTGGATCTACCAATCACTCCAAAGGCTTTCAGGTTTCGTGTTTTTGTGAAAGTTGCAAACATTCCAATCATAGATAACTGGGCTGATCACATGTTGTTCTCTTTTTATCTAAAGCATATGAAGATGCAATATGAAACATGGTCATCAAGCAAAATTACTGTTGTGAAAGTCACAGGACCAATCGAGAGTGACAACTTTCCAAACGTGAAGTTCAAAGTGGCAAGAGGTTCAGCCAGCCAGTGCTGCGAGTTCACTCTCGCAGACTTACCTTATCTTAACCCCAATGACTGGTTCGTTCTTTACAACATGCTGCTGAAAGACAAAGAAAAATACTAACCTTTCATGTCTCATCTCCAGTTAATGATAAAGTCTTACATTCAAGAGATTGGGGATATGGACGTAGAGATAGCAACGGTGTTGCGAAAGAAGCCTTTTGCTGTTCGTAAGGAATCTCCAAAGGACTTTGAAAAGCTGAAGCTAGGGAAGATTTAAATTAAGGAATGGTATGTAGTGTATCAAGCTAGGGAACGAACTGGTGCAAACGTTTGCAGGGAATGTTTCTTCCTTTCTGACAAGCATTTGTACACTACATCCTTCCTTGAGTATATATTGGACCTGGTGAAGAAATTCAAGGGCAACAGTAAGGATGACCTCAAGTGCTTCACTGATATGATTTTGTGGTACATGCAAATTCGACAGGTAATTTTTGGCATCATTCCAAAATTTTACGAAGTTCATAAGCGAATTCAAGGCTAATGGGTTCAGGCCTCAATTGACGCAAAGGGGGAGATTGTTGGGTATTAGATGTTGGGTCATTGGGCTTTTAGTTTAGTCTTTTATGTTAACGAGTTGGGCTTGTCCACTCGTCTTTATTTATAGGGTTAGAGTATTTAAGATGTATGCATGCATCATATTTTTGTTAACTTTTGATCATTACGCTATAACCCTAATCACGCCTCTACAGTAGCAATTCTTCATAGAGTTCTTCTGAGGCGTGACACTTAATCATTCGCCATTCTTTGAATCATCGTTGTGTTCTTACTTTACTTGTTTTGAATCTAATCGATCTTTAAAGATTTCAATCCTAACATAAACCCTACTATATGGGTTCATGTGGTGGCCTTGAAAGTTTTTTCATGAGTTTTTGGCTAGTTGTTTTGAATAGTTTACTTCTCTTTTTTCATTGTGACCGAAACGACTCTTATCGTCCCTCTCCTTCTTGTCTTTTTTTTGCAGTAGGTTGAAGAATTGATGCTTAAAATTACTTATTCTTTAGTGCTTATTTGAGTTAAGCACTTAAAAGCTTAAGAAGTACTATATACAAGAGGGAACTAGCATTCCAAGTGTCTTAATCTTTATGGTGGATACTTGTAGAGAAAATCAACCCTTTGATTTTATTTTTCTATCTTCATCAACACTCCAAAACCAAGTGGGTTTAAATGCTCCAATGGTTGTCATTCTAAAAAACTCTATGGTTGTTTTTAATATCATTATAACCTCTATAAATGGATCCTGGATGGTTTGATTTTGTTATAAACTCAAAAATAAACTTGTTATTTTTAAAAGCTTCCATTGTAGTTTTTATGAAAAACAAACTTTCATTTTTATCAAAACTCGTCAGTGGTATCATAGTCATCTTTTATATGTTAGAATGAGTTGTTATGGTTGATAATCGTTGGCTTTTGGAAAAAGAACATATATTTCTTTTGGTTAAGAAAGATCCATATTTGTCTACTTTGACAACTAGTAGTTCAAAATTGTTTATTTTTATATATAACCACATTTCATGCATTTTGGTTATATAAAAGTTGATTTAGAAAAAAAAGAGTTTTTTATTAGTATATGGTGCTTGTCGAGGCCAACAAAATAAATAACCCTAAATCTTTTACACTAAAATAGTGTATAGTGGTAAATGGTCGAATCCACGGAGGTTGGTTTAATTTGTTACTCAATGAAAAATCTCTTTGTAAAAATACTTGTAAAATAACAATAAAAATAAAAATGGGGGTTTTGGTCTTTTAAAATACTTGTAATAAAACTAGATTTAAACTAATATTTAAATGAACAATTCAACAAAATAAGAATTTGATGTAAAATCAATAAGGGAAAGATGGTTGACTTAAGGTTTCCTCACTTTGACTTTTGATGAACATATCATTAGAATCCAATGGTGCAGTACTTGTTTTAATTCCTTAATTTGGCTATAGTAATCCAAGAAGCTTGAGATTACCTAGACTTTTCTTAGTTATTGAAATGGTTAAAGAAGCTCATAACAATTTCCTTAGTCAAAGTCACAATTCCCATTAAGCATGTAATTAGTGAAAGTCAACTAGCATTAAGAATCAAAAAGTCACCAAATCCAAGAGGAGTCGGATGCTTTCACTACCATGTTGGAGAAAATGTTTTTATGATTGTGTGAAGTAAAACTAACACAAAAATCACTTGTTGCTTGCTAATTTGAAGATCTTTTACTTAATCAAGAAATTAGCCAACTAATCACCACAAGCACATTTAAACTTATGAATAAAAACATATAAGTAGTGATAAGATGTTAAAACACAAAACATTCTCATAAAGATTCAAACACAAGTTCATGGAGTCTTCAACATTCAACCAAAAAGTCAAAGGATTTCACCAAATTCAACCAAAATTTATCTAGCCAAGCATGGCTAAACTTAAGAAAACAAAGTTAGTAAAGATTGTACCAAACATTTAACAAGAATCAAGAGGTGAAATGATGAAGTTCTTGAGGGTTCTTGGCCTTCAAAAATGCTCCAAAACTCCAGAGAGAATGTGTCAAAATCGGATGTTCAAGATAAGGCTAAAGAGGCACACCAACCTTCCCAATATAGAGCTCTAGAGAAAATCCCGAAATTGCCCCTTCAGGAATCCACGCAGGCCGCGTGGAAACCTTACGCGGGTCGCGTGAGTGTGACAGATTTTTGGGCTTCTTCAAGTCTTGGGCCCCCACAGCTATTCCATTGGCCCAGTTCGAGTCTAATCAGCTTCTAGCCCATTTTTCTTCAAGATTTCTTCAATTTGAGTCCAATTTGCCTTCTCCAAATCACTCATAGCTTCCGCAAACGCCCGATCATCGATCTCCGCACACTCGAAAATTCTCCCGCGTCTTGCAAATTTAAAGTCCAAATATTCTAAGCCTTCAAGAAATTGACAAGCCCACTCCATGAATCACCTCCATAGCCACTAAGCTCGAAATCCTCATTTCCCTTCAAGTCCAATCGCCTCCTAAAAATCCCGCTCCGCTAGTCTCCAAAAAAATCTGCAATAATGCTCTAGAAACTAGAAAGTACCCGAAATGGTCATAAAATAACAAAAAGGAAAATATGCATGGAAATTAACTAAAATGCGAATAAAATGTGCTAAAATAAACTATAAAATGAAGTAAATAAAATGAAGCTATCAGTATATTTGATATGTTGTGTATAAACAAGCCATTTAGACTTTTGTGTTGTGTTTGGTTGATATTTATTTATTCATAAGATGTAATAGATAAATACGTATTTTTTCATTTGTTTATTTGTTGTAATAAATTAGTAAGACTAGTTGTATTTTTTTAATGTAACAAGATGAAGAAATGACATTTTGAAGATGACTTAACCACTTGAGACCATAATCCCAACCATGACCTTCTACTCTTGGTTTTGGGATTAATTATAGTCTTAATGGTTTAAGTGTTACAACATTTATAACATGGAGATTTGAATTTCTTTTGCAAGAAATGATTGTCTTGGAAAGTGGGAGATTGAAGACCCTTTGAAATGTCTCTTAAGTCCTTTTGGAAAGACTTAATAATTTTTGTGATAGTTCATAAAAATTATTACTAGACGTGACTTGGTTTATACACATTATAATGCATGCATGTGATGTTTATTTTATGTTGTTGTATGTTGTGTTTTATGTACGAAAATAGTTTTTACATGTCAAATAACATTTTAATATAAGATAATATCACATGGAGTTTGATTAAAAAATATTTAAAAGATAACATAAGATGTTTATAAATGAATATTTATAAAAACGTTTTCACCGTTACCGGTTAAAAATCGATTTTTTTTAAAAAATAATTTTATTTAAAACTTATAAATAGCCAACTTTAAAATATTTCAAATAGTTTAAAAGGTGTTTAAACATTATATAAACTCCATGTCTTTATAATAAATAAGGATTTTTTATTAAAAAAACTTAAAATCGGTTTATAGTGTTATAATGGCAAATAATAAAACTAGTGATTATTTTTATGTCGAAACTTAATATCTGATATTAGTGTTTTAAACATAACGCAACAAGTTGATATTATGTTTTATGCATGCCAAATGAAATTTAAAACCTAGATATCATCACCCAAGTTTTTGTTTATCAAAATATGACTTTTATGATAAGATGCATAAAATTGAGTTTATAAAATAAAATGAGTTTATTCTACAAATTCATAAAGTCATAAGATTTTGATTGTTAAAATGAGATTTAACAATTTGATTTTAGAACTCATCTAAAACTCCCAGTCTTGAATATAAAATGAAATTTTATTAAAAGACTTGAAACCGGTTCTTAAGCGTTCTTCGACTAAACTTTAAATATTGAATTTTAGTTTACAATTGATCGCGACTAATGGTAAATAAAATGAAGTTTTATTTGGTACCTAAAAAACCTTATAACAAGTGGTATGATTTTTACAAAAAGATACATGAATTTTTGGATGCATGCCATATTCCTCAGACCATGTTTTTTATAACTACATTTGTAAAACAGATATATAAAACCTTTACTTAAAAATGCAAGTCATTGCCATCCTTTTGAAAAAAAATTGGGCATCGTTTGTATGGTCTTAGTGGGCGATGGGTCACCTAACCACTAGGATTGTCTTATGATGTTTGGGGTAGTTTTGTA